CTAGACAAAAGTGTACAGTACCATTTGCAAAATTATTTAAACTGCCTCGTTAAAATTTAAGAATATGCTTTATTTAAAAGCATATTTAGCCAAAAATAATAACAAGTGAATTAACTTAACGTTCTACACACCTATAAAACTTTTGCTTTGTTTTCTATTGTTAATTTATATACATTTTTATTTTAATAAATTGCTAAACATTTTCGTCTAGTACTGTACAGTTCTCACCGAGAGCTCTGCTCGTTCAAGCTTGTTCCAACTATGTCTGTCTTTCTCAGGCCTAGTGTGTATTCTTTCTATCTTCGCGCAGATTTCTTCAAGGTCACAATTCTAACAAATTGAAATGGAGTGTACTTGTTTGTTTGTCCAGGATAATCTCGGGAAGTAGTAGTAGGACTTTTTATTTCAAAGCTCTATCTAATACAAAAACATTAGGCTAATTTTACAAAACAAATTATTCATAAACAATGTAAATAGATAGGCGGAAAGTACAACCTACTTTAAATACTGATTGTGAAATGGTTTCTTTCTTCGTTTCAGTTTCCATTATCTAATTAACTTGTCTATATTGTTCACATAGGAAGTGAATACATTGATGAATATTGTAAAAATATGCAATCGATGAGTTTCCGACAAATTAATTTAGTTTCTTCAATTGTAGGAGGAGCAATTATAAATTATGGCGACTATTCCATTATTTTCATCTTCATTTCGGACGTCGTAGACTTTGTTGTCTGTCGTGTCCGTTGAACTACACGTTACATCACGAAATTAAACAGGTCCTGAAATAATCTGTCTGAGTTCAGTCGCGATTGTGTAACGGCCCCCGGTTATGACTTCTTGAAATTTCGCGTCATCCTAAATTAATTTTGACATTTTACTGCCGCTAATTTTGAAACCGCGACGGCGCCACACGTTCGTTTTATTATTAATATTAATATGAAAATCACTAACTAGGAAGCGCGGAAACAAAAGTAATTTTTCTAACTGTAGGGAAATTATCGAAATAGCTTTTTATTTTTAAAAGTTTTACGACTTCAGTCTCGAAAAAGAAGCAAAGTTTACTTGTAGAAAATACACTCGGGTATTAAAACGGTTTAACAACTAGGAAAAAGTACATCTACCAATAAGGAACTTATAAAAGGAAAAGTTTAAAAAAAATTCTCTCACAAAATAACAAATATAGGTAAATGAAAAAGTTTCTTCCTACATCAAAACAAAACAACAAAAGAGCATAGCTTTTATACTATTTAACTTTTGACGTAACTCTTTAATGAAACTTCTGTAAAGTTAAAATTTATTGTTGTGGAAACAGGTAATAAGAACCAAACATCTAAAGTCAACTATTTACAATATCTCCTTGTAGTTTACATTTGGGCACCTTCCACACTGCACAGTTTATTATGCAATTAGATAAACTAAATGATTGATTGAATTATCGGTTAACTGTTACATGTTTTTTGTCATTTAAGGAAAATACGCAATTATGTACATTATAGACATAAAAAGTACCAAAACCAAATTTACCAAATTTGCAGCTAAGCCTTGTCATTTTTTGAAAACTTGTAATCAGTTGGATTCTGCTGAATGGCAAAACAGAATGAAGTGACTGATTTAGAAATAATGTTAAGCTTTAATATTTAATGGTAATAATAGTTGTTCTACATGAAAATTTCATTCCTTGTTTCAGATTTATCAAGTTGCATACGTGATATTAAAAGCAGCGAACTCTCCTAGGCCTGGCGCCTGGATATTGGATAGATCTTTGGACGGCGAAAACTTCGAGCCCTGGCAATACTTTGCTAGAAATGACAAAGAATGCCTGGAGCGGTACGGAATTCCTGCGACTAAAGGAAAACCCCGTTACACGACCGATACGGACGTGATTTGCACCTCCCACTTTTCGAAGTTAACGCCGTTCGAAAACGGAGAGGTGAGGATGTAGATAAAAATTAATTTTAGAAAAATTACGTTCTTCCATTCTTCATCGTTTTATGGTTTTTAATATATATATAATATATTATATTCCAAACTGTCTTCCCATGAAACTGAATACTCCTAGTTTGGAAATCATAAGTATTTAGTTATTTAGTTTTAAGAAAAAAAGTTGAACAGACTTTTAGAAACAAAGAAGTTTGCACCCCAACCAGGAGGGATGGCACCGTACGCTGATATTATTTAAATGCGTAATCGAAAACAATTGTTTAAATAAAAGCACAGTTATTACTGTGTATTGACACCTTCTTAGTACAATTTATAGACATATTAGAAGCAGAAACAGGAGTTAAGAGGGGTAAATGTACACCTAGGTTAGATTACTGTTCACAAATAGTTAAGGATATGGGGAACTTTTAGGAAACTGCAGAGAATGACTTCTCGAAT